ATAGGGAGAGGGGGAGAGAGAGAGAGAGAGAGAGAGAGAGAGAGAGAGAGAAATTTAAGGAAGTCACAATCAATTGCCTGACCTATTTGATGGCATGTACAGCATATGGAGGTCAGGAAGGCTGTCTGCAGCACACATCATTGGGATATCCATCTTCAGGGTTTAGCTTTCTTCCAAACAGTGTAAAATACCCACAATTCCAAGTATGAAGGGACACAGATGATCTCCTTCGAGAATTCCACAGGACAATACAGGCGCCCAGGCTGTTCTTCGTGGAGCAACAGGGCTTCTGTCAAATTGACACAGTGCTCCTGTGTAAAATACTTCCCATCCTGTTTCAATACTTTCATTGAAGAATCAGTCTGAGAAACTCCCATGTGAAATATTCTTCTGAAGATGTGGAGATTGGAACAGCTGTCAAATTATTAGTCACATAATCAAATTCTCTCCCTTCTTTGGCGTACCTCTTCAGTACTTGAACACAGTCTTCTATAAGAGCCTGACAGCAGTCTCCTTCAAGATTGTTTAAGATGTCACCACATGTTTTGCACATATATTTCTTACGTGCATCGACCACCATTTGGTCAATCTCTACCATAGTGACCATCTTTGGTTTCAGTTTGACTATTTCACATAATATGCCTCCATCTCCGCCTCCCAGAATCAGTACATCTTTGCCAGTGTAATCTTTGGCACTGTCCATGATGGCCTGGGTAAATGCCAAATCACTGTCAAACTAATATCCACTAAGGATGAGAATATTTCCAAACTGCTTTGAGTGTAGAATTTTCATGTTCTGGTAAGGTGAATCTTCGTTTGTGTAGGTTGCTAGGTAGCCATGATTCTGCCAGGTATGCTCTGACTCTGCCATGCCCTGCTCCTGGAAAATGGACTGCAGGCCTTTTAGAATGGTCTCATCATCAGCTTTGGCACCTGGTCGAGTGTGGTTTGCCTGCTGCTGCCATAGTGAGGCCAGACCCTGTGCCAAGCCTGGGGGAGGCAGCAGCAGGAGACTGGAGACCACGCAGGGTGTCAAGCTGTGGGCAGTGGGGAGTGCGCTGCACGGGGGAAGTTGTTGTCTTATTTTAGACAGCTTTTTAGAAGGGCTTTTTGAATCTCTAATGGCTCTTCCATGTGTCTGAGGCTAGGGACAGGTTTTGGCTGTTCACCACAGTTATGAATGGTTATCATTGATGATGGTAATGTACTTCCCAAGACTGCATACCCCTATCTCTGGACAAGAAGGGAATCGGAATTCATGCTCACCCAGGGAGGCACACGTGAGGGTTTTGGCTTATTCAGTGCCTGGGCAGGGGTTTTCTCCCACAGCTGGCAGGACTAGCAAGAAGAAACACGTGTCCTGAGACACAGTGAAGGAACCTGGCTGACAACGGGGGGCGCTACCTCAAAGAACACACATACAACCCCTAACCAATATAGTTGGAGCCCTTCAATCTGCTCTTTAATTTTTTTTCTCTCCCACTTTTTCAAAAGGTTAGAAAGCAGTCATTCAAGTCTCTTGATCAATGGTTTCATTTTTCGATAACAATGTGGCTTCTTAACTGTGTCTGTTATAGCAGGAATCAAATTTAGCTTGTGCTTTTAGAAATACTCTGGAGTTGAAAATGTGAGTTTCAGAGGAAGTAGGTACACATGTCTATAAGGGCGGCTAGTCCTGCCCAACCCATCTTCTGATCTCTCTCCAGATAGCAGCCACCTGTTCTAGAGCAGGGAAGCCTCAGGGGATGCCTTGAGGACATATAAAAACCAAGAGAGATTAAAGGGAGGCCTCCCCCCCCTTTTTTTCCTTTTTTTTTTTTTTTTGAGGCAGGGTCTTGCTATGCAGTCCAGGCTGAACTTGAACTCTCTGTGTAGCCCAGACTGGCCTTTAGCTCACAGCAGTCCTCCTGCCTCAGCCTCCAAAGTTCTGGGATCACAGGCCTGTGCCATCAAGCCCAGCTTGGTGTATTCTTAAACACTGGAATTTATTCAACCCTCACACTCTAAGAAAGAGCTGTTCAAGGGCTGGGGATTTAGCTCAGTGGTTCTGGTGCCTGCCTCGCAAGTGCAAGGTTCCGAGTTCGATCCCTGGTACCAAAAACAACAACAACAACAACAACAAATTCCATGGCTTTATTATAGCACAATCCTCCTTTGTATCCTGCAATTGATCTTTATAGGGGCCAGGGATTTAGCTCGGTGGTTTCACCGCCTGCTGTGCAAGCCCAAGGACCTGAGTTCAATCCCCGGTACCAAAAACAAAACAAAACAGAAAGAGCTGTTCAATATTTTTCTGCACCCATATATGGCCTGTCTATCCCCTGAAGGCAAAGTGGAATGCAGAGGAAGGTATTGTAAAATATTATTTTACAACTAGAATTATACTATAAGAGAGGGAAAATGGTCAAAGGTAATTTATGTTCAGACTTTCTGTGCATGAAGAGACAATCGTAACTTATGTTCAAAGTCTAGATATAAGACATTGGAAAACTAGACACCATTGGTCTTTAATGTGCAATCTGATACATCTAACATTACTGAGCCAAAGTTCTCTCCCTTGTCCTCCATACCCTAAGGACCAGACTTTGAAGTCAACCTAAATTGAAGCTCTACTGGGCTGTTTCCACCTCTATCTGATTTTGTTAAAGCTCCTGAAGGGCAATACCCCTTACAAGAGGTGAATAGATAATTCAGCCCTACCTGAGTCCATGTGTCCTTTGCTCTCAGGAACCTCAAACAGATCGAACAAGATCTGAAAACGTTTTCAGACAATGGAGGTCTTCGGGAGACTTCCTCAGACCTATGAACTGGACTGGAAAGCTGCAATGTTGCTCTCAGATCACTTTGACTTCTAGCAAAAAAAAAAGCAACATTATGGGCTGCTCTTACATTTGGAGACAAATATCGTATTGTTATCTTTAAAAGACCAGAAGATAACCAGAGTGAACAGCCAGTTCCTAGCAGGAGCCCAAGGAGTCCCTATACAACCTTCTGAATGACCTGCCACCCAGCCAGGAGATAAAATAAAAAAATTTTCAAACATGTATCCTTAAAGGCCTAAAAAGGATGAAAACTAATCACTTCAGTTATTTTAAAATGTCAACTTCTAATTAAAAAAAGATGAATCCCTCCCCTAAAAATAAAATAGTTAAAATCACCTTTAACAGTCTGCTTTCACAGATGTAAAAGGGCTTTTTCCCCCCTTCTGATTCTTAATTTATTCCAAGAGATCTCTGCTAGATGATGACCTATACGAAAAGTTCTGACTAGTCTATTTATAGTTACAAACCTAAAAACTGTGAAAGGGTTATTGTAGTTCAACTTGGCCAAATACATTTGAGAGTACACTCTAATTTAAATATAATCATCTTGTGTATGTTTGTCCATCTGTTTAATGTGTGTTTAATAAGTGGTTAAAGCACCTATGGCTGCTTCATTTAAAAAAATTTTTTTTTCAGTGCAACAATTACTTTTTCTTTTTTTGGCTCTTTTTGAGATTTCCATAAGACCACCTATATAGGTTTTCAAGGTAGCCAGACTTATTTAACAGATGAAGACTGATAGACTCAAGGCTCACACAGAACTTACAAATAAAAGCCTTAAAGTTTGATAACATAAGGATTATATGTGATTGGATTGCTATATATGTTTTTATGTGTCAATATTCAGATATATGTTAAATGTTAGTTGGTATATGGATAAACAGACACTCATGATATAGGCCAAATACTTTTGTTCACAGGCTTAACAGTTAGTTAACAAGATAAAAATAAAGATGTCTTTAAAGTTGGTAACATTTCCATCCAGCTTGTTAGCAAATTGAGATAATATCAAAAGATTTGTTTTATAAATGCAACATTTGTCTATAATGACTTAAAGGGTTAAAGATTTGGTTCTCATGAGTCATCTGAAGCAATTGTTAAAATATATTTAAGTTGGTTATAATTAAAAGGTTCAGTTTTATATGTCTAAAACAACAAGATTTTCTTAACATATATACTGAAATGCTCGGTTAAACTTACAAAACTAGATTTAAAAACAAAAGGTTCTATATTTTTCTAAATAAGTTTCTAGTGTTATTGTCATTGGCTTTTGGTTACTAAAAAGTAAGCTTTAAGTGTTAAAAAATATTTAAATGTTAATCTACAAAATGTTTTCAAGAGGGCTGGGGATTTAACTCAGTGGCACCGTGCCTGCCTGTCAAGTACAAGGTCCTGAATTCGATCCCCCGTATCCAAAAAATAATAATAATAATGTTTTCAATAATCAGTTTGTGGTGAGTTAAATAAACAACTACTAGGTTAGTTTATGACGTAATTTATATATTTGGGCTTGTATGTATATATATATATCTAAAAATAAGCTATGCTATGAGTCTAAGCTTTAAAGTTAAATTTATAGAGTTAACACTATGTAAGTTTAATACATACAAAGTAACTAATAGATGCCCTCTTTTATGTATGTTTAGACCTTAAACATATAAAATTATAAAAATTTGACATCTCTTTAAATTCAGTCCTGACATTTAAACTTGATCTATATTTGTTGGCTGTGAGTAAACAAACATTTTTGTTATTATATAAATAATATACACATATTGGTATTAAGCATATTTGCAGTCATTAACACCATACACCTTTCATACACCTGAATTTGCCATGAAGCTCTGCATGCTCTTCTTCATTGCTCTGGGGCTCTTTGGTGCTCTGGTTTTGTGTCCTTTTTTCTTGTTCAGTTGATTCCATTAGCATTCCCTCACCTTGGTTTTCACAGTTTTCAATCTGTTTATAACGTTCCTGATACTCATCTTCACTGCTTTCTCTTTCTTCCTTGTTCTCCTCATTGTTACTATCTTTTTCACATTTCTCAGTGGGTTCAGGACTGACAAGCTGAATTTCTGACCAGCTTTTGTGGGGTCAATCTGTTGGCCTCTGTATGTTGAATTCTTGTTTATCTGCTGGTCATTGGCAGAGACCATCTGATCAGCTCCTGCGCCTTCACTGTCTGAGTCTGAATCCTCATCCTCTTCCATGTCAGTGCTTGGTGTACACACCTGGTTTGAGTCATCCTCAGTGTCATATTTGTTGACCATGCATCTTCCTAGAGTTTGTGTGTCTTCTGGTTCTTTGACAGTAGCAAGGTTGTTGACTGAAGAACCTACAACACATCCTTCATGGAAGGTTGTCTTCTCACAGCAACAGATGTGACCTTTGAAGAGGGTTTTGATCTCTTTGTGGAGGGAATGGGAAGCAGATAGATCACCCCCTGTGAGGCTCTCTGTCCAACTGACTTTCAAATGGGATTGCTCTGAGTCCAAGCAGTCACTGCTGGGATTTGGAGTTGCCATGTCTTCAGTCTCCATCGAGTCCTGAGGCTTCAGAAGAAAATGAAGAAAAAGTGTTGGGGAGAAGAACAGAGTCATGTACTTAAGTAATAAGAGTATATGGTCACAAGCACCTCCACTGGGCCTGTCCCCTCCTCTCCTGGGAGGCAGCTCTGTGCTCACCTCAGCAGGTTCATCTTCTTGGAGCATGGGAGACATCTCTGGGACTTGGATGACTTCTGTATTTTCTGGTGGTTTACACATAGGCAGGTCTATACTTGTATCAAGTTTTTCATGCATTTCCTGAGCTGGATGTGGAGAGGAGCTGCTGCCCTGCCGGAAATCTTCCTCAGGTGGTTCACGGAAAAGGAGGTCATTGTCTTTGTCATTTTTCTGAACTTGCTCATCAGGTACCTTATTTTTTTTGCCATTATTTTGAATTTCTTCCTTCAGCTATTCATTTTCCTCTTTTTCACCTCCTACAGTGGATTCAGTTAAGATACAATCTCATTTGTCATATTTCTTATTATGAAAAAGCATGAGAAATAGAAGGATCAAGAAAAAGGAATTGCGCTCCACAGTCAAGGATGGGTTTTATTGGAAGTAAAACCTGAGAGGGACTGTTGGTGGTTAGGCCAGATCGGTGCCATGTCTTATAGGCTATAGGGTTTTATGGGGTTGTAAGAGAAAGTTGTAGCTCTCTTTGAGACAGGGGTATTTTTCAGGCTGTGATCACTGGACTGTTCTGCTTGCATTTGCTTTTCCCAAGGCAGGGCTTACTGGGCCTTGTTGCCCTGGGCCGGTCTATTCTGGGAAAAGGGAATTTAAAGAGTGTGACTCTTAAGGAGGGGTGGGCCTGAAATGGGGAACAGCTCCTTGGTATACAGCTGCTTAAAGTCAGGTATAACCTTCTGGTCCATATGCTGCAGTACAGGAGTTGTATTAGGTGGGAGAAACTCTACTGAGAGCCATGGGAATTCTTCAGCCAATTCTTCTTCCACGTCTCATGGGTAAGCAGGAGCATTGACTATAATGGGAGAGGCTTCAGTGGTAAACTTTTGTCCTCTAGATATTTCTTAACAGTAGGACAGAAAACCTCTCTGATCCACCAAGAAAAAGTACTCTTGTTACCCAGCCTTTTGCATTAGATTTCCACATGACCCCTAGTCTGTTCTTCATGATTTTATGTTTTCTGAACACTCTAGGGGTCTCAGAGTGATAAAACAACAGAGGCTTTATCTTGACATCACCACATTGGCATTGGCACATAGCAATAAGGTTAGCCTATCTTTCATAGACTTGTGGCCTGGCATTTTCTTCTCTTCTGGGTAATGTATGTTCTCCTGGGCATTTTCTTCCAGAAAAGGCTAATTTCATCACAGTTGAAAACTTGATGAGAGCAAAAGCCATTTCTCTATGTCATCATTTCGAAGTGGTGTATATAATTTTCAGCAGTTCTTTTATCGGCACTGGCTGCTTCACCATGCCTAGTTACATTATGAACCCTGGTTCTCGCTTTAAAATTTTGAAACCACTCCTTACTGGCATGAAATGTTTCACCATTATCACTTGTTGATGGATTATCCTTTACGACATCTGCATTTATAGCTCTAGCTTTTTCACAAATTATAGACACAGATAGGCAATAACCTGCCATCTGCTTTTCATTCATCCACACTAATAATAGCCTTACTATCTTTTCTAACACTGTTGATTGTGACTTACTAATTTGAGTAACACCTTTAGCAACACTAGCTTCCTTATACAAATCTTTTCTCTGTAAGACTGTCAAGATGGTGGATTTTGTCCTGCTAGACATATCAGTGAAGTCGGTCACGTGAACACCACTCTCATATTTCTCCACAATTTTCTTCTTTTTGATTGTGATGGGCTTCTTTACCTTCTCTTCCTTCCTGAGCTTCTTTTCTAGCTTTCTCGGCATCATTTTGACAGCAGTAATGGTAATAATCACATAAAGCACTGGCCAAAATCATGTCCACAAACACATATGTCTGGGCTCAGACTGACGCTTACATATGCTTTTCTGGCATCGATATATCTTTGTACACCTGCACAAGCAGCCAGCATTCAGGTTATAACTCAAGAGTTTGGTCATAAGTTAAAGCTAAAATCCCAGTCATAACCCAAGTTGTTTATATGTCAGGGCAGTTGTAACTTGAGGGTCCACTGTAGTTTAACAGTTTCTTTAAAAAGTCAGTATGGGGTTGGGCATGGTGGCACACACCTGTAATCCCAGCACTCAGAAGACCAAGGCAGGAGGATTGCCACAACTATGAGACCAGCCTGGGCTACATAGTGAGTTCAAGGCCAGCCTGAGCTATATATTGAGACCTTGTCTCAAAAAACAACAACAAAAAAAGTCAGTGTGGGAATTCCATACAGTTTAATAATGGCACTCTTGGGCATTTACCACACAGAAATGAAAATCTATGTTCACTCAGAAACCTATATGTGAATGTTACAAATAGCTTTGTTCTGTTGTTGTTTATTTGGCTTTTGTGTCTTTG